TGGGGTGTAAATAAATAAACAAACAAATAGCCAGCACCATCCGGCCTCCCTATAAACAAATCAGGAAGAGTGCTCAAGTAGACAGGTTGTCTGGAAGCACCCCTGAAATTCTCCAAAGCAGAACCACTACCAGCCCTTCCTAACAATTAAAGCAGAGGCAGATGAGAGATTCCATTGCTCATCCAAGATGGTGGAGCAAGTCAACAAACAGACTGCCTTTTTCCCATTGGTGAAGGGAACTCCTGAGTGCTTTTCCCTAAATTGAGAGTGTTGGTGAGGACTGTCTGAGCCAAGTGACTTCTTCCTCTCCCCGTGCCCCTGTCCCTTTACACTTAGTTCAATAAGTGTTTGCTAATTATCTGAGATCATTGTCATGGCCATAGCAGAACTAGGGCAGCAGGGATGTGCATTCAACCTGCTTTATGACCCGAGATTAAAGGCTCATGTGAATGAATCCCCGGTGGCAGTCAGTGGTGGATATTCCATCTTCCCTCCAGCTCAATGTCTTTCTCCCTTTCACTTCCTGGACATTACAAACATCACAGTGCCTGTTAACCAGAAGTCATCCCAGGGCTCCCCCCTGGCCATTATGTGGTTGGTTTCTGTTTTTTAACCCAGAGCTGGTGGGTGATTCATGTCCCCTGTCAAAGTTAGTCAGAAGGGTCAAGGGATAGCAGAGATAAAATGTTAACATCTTCCAACCGAAATTGCTCTGGTCATGTTCAGTTTTTTAAAAAAGACTCCCTCTCCCTTTCCCCTTTTAACATTCGGTACCTTCATCTTCTCTCCTCCTCCCTATCCTCAAATTCTATTTCCTGCATCTTTCTTATATTCTCCCTCCCTCCCCCAAAAAACCTCAGGACTGGCTGTGAACATTGGTGTGAAATAAAAAGGCATCTGTGCTCACAGATGTAATCAATTGAATTGGCAAGATGCCTGCGGACACCTATGAGCTGCATATCCAATTACAGTGTGGACGTTTGCAATGTACATTGTTTGGTCCTCTACATTCTCCTCTTGTCTTTATTTTCAGTTTTGCTATTTCTCCTGCCCCACCACCCTCCAGCTTGGCTCTAATCTTCTTGCTCTTTTCTGCTCTGCATTTAATGGCAATCAGCTTCCTGGTGTGCATGCACTTCTGATCAAACACTGCTCATATCCAGGATATATATATATATTTATAAAAAGCCTGCAAGGCTGATGTGCTCTGGCTAACACAGCTAATTTGGACATTTGCTGTTAATTAACCCTTTGCATGGGTGGCATCCAGGAGGATATTGAATATATTGCCGTTATCAAGCCACGTGCAAAAGTCTTTCCGCCCAACCCCATTCATCTTGCAGCTCAGGCCATGTCTGCATCACAGGTCAATGCTTCAGTTAAACTTGATTTAATGAATAAGCGACCCGCAGTTTCCCCCTGCACTGAAAATGCTGGGCAATCATCAGCCTCGGTTTTTGCACGGTTCGAGCTAGACTACTTTTGCGCAGAGAAAAACGCTTTAGGGATGCTGCGGAAATTCATTAGCATTCATTGGGGTGCTTGAACCTTTGAGCTTATGCCAAAAGCTGCTCCAAAATGTTCCTCTTGGCTCCCCAAATTGGAGTGCAGGGCTGGGATATGGCAAACCAGGGTTCAAATCCCCACTCAGCCATGAAGCTGACTGGGTGACCTTGGGCCAGTCACTGTCTCTCAGCCTAACCTACCTCATAGGACTGTTGTCGGAATTAAAAGAGGAGGAGGAGGAGAACCATGTATGCCACATTGAGCTCCTTGGAGAAAAGGGTGGGAAAGAAATGTAATAAATTATATAATACAAATAAATAATTTCTACAAGAAGAAAAGGTGTCAAGTTGCCTGCACTTCTCCAACTGGCACAAGAGATGTTTGGGCATTTCTATCCCACTTTATTCAGGTGTGTTGTTGTGCTGTTTTGAGGGTTATTTATGTCTGATTTGCAGAACTACACATTTCTCAGACACACACAACCCCAGGCATTTTCTCTTATGAAATGATAATAAATAAAGAAAAGCGAAACTCGGTTTCACCAGAGGTTTCCTTATAAAAGAAGTTCAAAGGCTGCAAAAATTTGGCTTTTCAAATGCACATCTAAAAATTCAGTAAATCCAATACAATTAAATGGGAGAGGTGAGAAAACTGAAAGGTGACGGAAAGGGCATGTGTGTTCATACATGCGTGCATATGTGCCAAAAAAAAAAAAATCAACAAGGTAGACAAGGAAAGAACATAGCAACTAAGCATTCCAACTAAACATTAGGGGTCTCTTCCAACTCTACAATTCTATGATTCTATGTTCCTCAGCAACTGGTATTCAGAGGCATACTAAGGATCTAAGAGGTGACTGCAGAAATTAGGTCTGTTGGCTCTTGTAATTCACCGGCCGAATTTCACAGCCTTCAGAAATGCCTTCCGATTCCCAGAGGTATTCATTGCTTAGCAATGCTGTTGAACCCTTTCTTCAATATGTCCCTTCAATTCACAGATACATCCCATTGATTTTCAGCCGGGCACCTCAGAACACAAATAGCAGTGGTCTCCTGAGCTTTGACGGAAGTAGCCAGCCAAACCACCGTGGCTTTTATTTGCCAGTGGAGCTGAATACCAGATAAATTAGAGGAAGATCAGAGGAAGAGATTAAGGAGGGTTAAAGGAAGAGATACCATAGGAAGAAAAAAAAAGGGGGTGGGAAATAAAGTCAAACGTGTGAAAAGTCAGCTTTGCCGAGGAGGCCGCAGACATTTCAAAGGACCATTTGACAGGAATTCAAAGCAGCTTCTCTGATTTAGTGCAGGACCGCACGGCTGTGGTCAAATCTGCACCATCCATCGCTCAGGCTGCTGGTGGAAAGTGATGGAGATCTATGGTCTCTTAACAACCTGAAAGGGAGGGATGCAGGAGCTGTGTGAAAAAAGTAAGGGAAGCCTTCAGACTGCAGATAGGAAGGGTGAGCAGCGAGGTTTCTGCATTGCACCTGCAAAGAGAAGTTGTTTTCCTTTTTCAGCTAAAAGAAATACGTTGCTGCCTTATGGAGGTAAGGTAAGGTAAAGGACTCCATCCAGTTAAAGATGACTATGGGGTGTGGAGCTCATCTTGCTTTCAGGCCGAGGGAGCCAGCATTTGTCCACAGACAGCTTTCCAGGTCATGTGGCCAGCATGACTAAACCGCTTCTGGCACAATGAGACACTGTGACGGAAGCCAGAGGAAGCATGGAAACTCTATTTCCCTCCCCACCACAGCGGTACCTATTTATCTACTTGCACTGGTGTGCTTTTGAGCTGCTAGGTTGGCAGGAGCTGGGACAGAGCAACGGGAGTTCACCCCATCATGCGGATTCAAACCACCAACCTTCCGATCAGCAAGCTCAAGAGGCTTGGTGGTTTAGACCACTTATGGAGGAGCTGTAATCTACATGGGTGATGCTGTTCTCCAAACTGTTGTCTGTTGTCTTGGAGTGCTGAAGTGTATTTCTCCTACAAAACACAACCCTCTTGGAGGATGGTTAGATATTATGATCAAGTCAGCAGCATCTATCTGCAAGGGATTCACAGGTTATGAGCCTTATCCACTCTTGCATGACTATGTCTCGTGGCTTTTGAAAATAGTTTTAAAACTAGTGAATGTGTGAGCAAATCTTTGCTACTTCTCGATCACCATCTTGTCTGTATTTAATCAATTTTTAAAAAATCTGCCTCCTCCTACACTCACGGTGGCTTACAACCATCATAAATGTAACCAGTAGAGCTTCCCAGCGGAGATGGAGACAGAATACAGTAGTTGCTTTCTGCAGCAAAAGTGGCTTTTCACTAGTGGCTCTCAGTTCCTAAATTGCATGTGTTGGATAGATAGTTCTGCAAAATCTGCCCCATCCCTTGGACTAGGGGCAGATCGTGGCTCATGTGCAAAGCGGGATGCGGGGTGCAAACTGACCGCAGTGCCAGACCTGCGCTTCTGATTTCAGCAATCACTGTCTCCATGCAGCTGCTCTTATGATCAGGCTGTTAGAAGAGAATAATGTCCCATTAAAGGGAATAATGGAGAATAATGATAGCCGTATCTGTGAAAGTACAAGGATTTCCACTATGCCTTCTTTCAAAGGTCCAGGGTTACTAGAAGTCCTTCCTTATGAGAGGCAAAAATCAGTAAGAGGACAATGGTTGGGCCCAATAAGTTGGACCTTGCGTTCTTTGCTCCCATCTTTTTGCACCTGAGCCAAAAGCAGCAACAGCTGTGTACATCAAAGCACCTGTCAGGCAGCATCTCAGGGAAATGGTGCTTCCTCATTGTTGTATCCCAGAGTTTCCAGCACAGCAGCGTAACTGTCCACAGAACATTAGTTTCACATTACAAAGTTATGTACCATAAAACAGTGTATTCCCTCGACTGGAGTATATTATAAATGACATGCACATGCCAAGGATGGTGGGGCGTGGGGGGTGGGGAGTAAAAGGCTGGTGGGGAGGGAAAAAAGATATATTGATGGTGTGTTATTGCAATGAACGCAGCAGGCAGGTGGGCAGCAAGAAGCAGGTCGGCACACAAAAAGGAAATAGTAAATCACTCTCCCAGACTGCCCTAGAATCCTGAATATCCTGGCAACTGGGTAGCCCTGCTATCTCAGATCGTTGTTTGGCTACATCTCTCATTCTGGACTGTAGACTCAAAACAAAATATACTATTATCTTCTCACAGCACCAGGCTGCCTTGGGTAAGGTGAGGTGGAGAGATGTGGAGAGAGCCGGAGGGAGGGTGACAATAAAGCTGACGTTTTGTTCCGATATCCAACATGGCTGCTTATGCACTTCCTGCAAATAGGCAGCAACTAACTAAAGTTGGCTCATGTGTCTCTGATGAGGAGAGGGGGCTGGTGAAAGAGAGGAACATAGGAGTCAGAGCACTGGTCCATCTTGCTCAGTATTGTCTACACTGACTGTCCGTGGCTCTTCGTGGTTTCAGACAAGGGGACTCTCCCAGTCCTACCTGGAGATGCCAGGAATGGAACAAGGGATCTTCTGAGTGCAAAGCAGGTGCTCTACCGCTGAGCTAGGATTCTTCCCTCCAGAGATGTGCTTTGAATATGTGTCACAGAGCAAGCTGGTCAGTAAATCACACCGTTCAAAGTTGGAGTTAACTCTTTATTAGCAACAGGTAGGTAGCCATGTAATCTGTCATAGTCGAAACAAAATTAAAAAATTCCTTCCAGTAGCACCTTAGAGACCAACTAAGTTTGTTGTTGGTATTAGCTTTTGTGTGCTCATACCAATATTTTTTATTTTGTTTCTTTATTAGCAAAAACATGATCTTCACAGGCGGAGTGTCGGGCTAATGAGCACAGTAGCTCATTCCCTGTAGGTCTTACTCAGGCTTCCTCAACCTCGGCCCTCCAGATGTTTTTGGCCTACAACTCCCATGATCCCTAGATAGCAGGACCAGCGGTCAGGGATGATGGGAATTGTAGTCTCAAAACATCTGGAGGGCCGAAGTTGAGGAAGCCTGGTCTTACTCCATGAAATCACTTGCCAATGCGGAAAGTCCCTGCTTCCCCACAGCCATCTATTTCTCCTCCTCTCCAGGGCTTCTTCCAAGCAATGAGAAGCTATGCTTACCTGCAGCTTGTTTTTGCTCTTCCTTTTGCTCCTTCCAGATCCTGCCTCCTGGTTCACCTCAGATTGCTGCCCATGACCCATCGCGGACTGTCAACCCAAGGATGGAAGGAATACAAGCAGCAGCCCCATTTGCCTGACGCATCTCTGGAACTTAGCTTGAACTTTGAGAATGAGCTTCATCCAAAACTATTTGCCCTATTTGTGTACAGATACCCTGAGTCATCTGCGTGCTGTCTAGCAACCTTATGGCGGCAGTTAACTCGCTAATGGGCCCTTCCCAGTCCCAGCATGTGAGGCCCCTCGCAATGGAGATGAGGAACAGCTGCTTTGCTCCTACCCTCCATAAAATTTATCATCATTTACCCCTCCAAAGAGCATCATGGTGCATTCTCTCACAAATGCCTCACAGCTGCTACAGCCATGACAGATGCCAAGAGGGAAGGTCTTCGTGGGGAGGTGTATTTTTAGCTTTCTCATTAACCGAATGCTTTCAAATTAGCCTTCTATTAACCTCAAAGTAGAATGAAAGCATTTGAAAGTGAGGCGCTTTTTCATTTTCTTTTTTTTTTTATATCCCTGCTTCCAGGCTCAGACTCCTATAGAATACCAAGGTTCTTGTGATTAACATTATGTATCTGCCTTGGAGCTCTAATGAAGTGGAATTTTGCAATGTTTGACTCCAGTGTTATAATTGGTGCGGATGAAGAGAGTATCAGGAAGGCTGCCTTGTAATCTGACATGGCTTGATCAGTTGTTATTATTATTAATTTAATTTGTATGCCGCCCTTCATCTGAAGATCACAAGGCGGTTCACAGGAGAAAGACACAAAATGAGAACACAGAATACATAACAAAACAAAAACAAACCAATAACACTCCATCCCACAAACTCATTTTAAAGGCCATCAGTCAAAGGTCTTGTTACATATCTCCAGGTGCCTGGAAAGCCTCCCTGGGGAGAGCATTCCACAAATGGGGAGCCACCACAGAAAAGGCCCTTTCTTGCATTGACACCCTCCAGACCTCTCGTTACCTTCCTCCTCCTCCTCCTCCTCTTGTGTAGCTCTCAATCTAATCCATTCTGTTTTGCTTTGGTGGGGGGGGGATCTGTGTAAATCTGAGACTTGTGGATCTCTAGCATGTGCTCTGCAATCTGCATTGTCTACAGTGCTGACATCTGAGAATCACAATTGTTTTGGGGTTATCTGTGAGGAAAACTACACCAGGACAAACATTGCCTGTTTCAGCTTTGCCACTGTTCAAACTAGTTTGCAGGCAAAAATGTTGCACATCAGGCATTGTGATGGTCCCCTGTGGACCTGGCAGATGTTCCTCACATCAGACTCTTCCAGGTTGACAAAATTGTGTGATGTTGTGGTTGGGGTGTTGCACCGGGACCTGGGAGGTCAGGGTTCAATTCCCTACTTGGCCATGAAGCTCACTGGGTGACCTTGGGCCAGTCACTTTTTCTCAGCCTAACTTACCCCACAATGTTGTTTTGAGGATAAAATGAGGAGGTGGGAACCACATACAACACACGGCAGGATATAAATGCAATCAATACATGTGAATAAATAAAACAACTCACCCATTCACAAGCTCATTTCCACCAACTGTAAGTCCCAAGGCCCGTTTTCATCTTGGGTGTATGTGCGCACTCCTGCAAAATGTTTCTCTGTGTTAGTTTGAATTGTCGCATTCGACTCAGCAGTTAAATTACATACCCTCCAACATTTCTCCAATGAAAAAAGGAACGCCCTATACAATAATATTAATGAAATTTTACCCCATCCCCAGCCACTCTGGGTGGCTTCTAACATATATAAAAACATTATAAAACATTTAATTTTTTTTTAAAAAAAATCCCTATACAGGGCTGCCTTCTGATGTCTTCTGAAGGTTGTATAGTTACTTGTCTCCTTGGCTCAGGGGTCACATAACTCCATACACTCCAACATTTCTCTGGGGAAAATAAGGACATCCTAAGGAAAACCAGGACATTCTGGGATCAACTCAGAAACAAGGATGGCTTTTGTAAATCCAGACTGTCCCTGGAAAATAGGGACACTTGGAGGGTCTAAAATTATCTGTTGCCAGATCATGATTCTATGATCACAAAAGTGGCCCTCTTTCCCTTGACTTGCTGTCTACACCTATATTCAGCAACCATTGACTGAGAAACTATGCTATGTCTCAGCAATGCATACATCACATCTCCAGCGCAGAAACTTTTTTGGCTTAATAACTTCACATTACATTATTTATGGAAGTCATTGTTAACTATGGAGACCTCAAAGGGCACTACAACCATGGCAGCTCCTCTGTGTGGGGTTGGGGGTGCATAGACAGTGCCTCTTCCACCTTCTCCTCCACCTTCTATAGCCAAGAGCTCCACAAGAGCCACATTGGTTGCACAAAGATATCCCACAGAATAGTATCTTCATAACAGGTGGCCAAATGAACACAAAGTAAAGCAAAGGTGTGAGGGAAAAATGATTGTGAATGCAGCCTCCCTTCTGCCACTGACAACCACAGGTGTCCAGTTTTAAATCATCCAACAGATATGCACATTGCAGAATCCAAACAGTTCACCCCAGCCCAAAGAGACTCCCCAGATAGGCTCATTTATCATGTTACCGCTGCTCAGTCCCACAAGTGCATCCCATGGATTTTCAAAACAGCTTTCAGAAAAGTGCTCTGAGAAGGCGAGAAATCGAATCTCTCCTGAAACGATTTGGTTTGATGCAGAGGTTTAGCACCTTTCGCAAACTTGTGCAAATTTACAGCGTGAGCTCAGCAGAAAGGAAAGGAGGACACAAAAGCTTTAAACAAGAGCACAGTCTTTGAGAATTCTCGTGTGAGAATTTGAAACATCACATGAGCTGATGAAGAACCTGCAGCTCTGTCTCAGAACTGCCTTACAAAAAGGTATCCCAAGCAGCTGAAAAGAGCAGCCATTTCCACTTGACAAAGAATGCAATCAGACTTCGCTGAAAAAATCCAGCCTCTCTGAAAGAGATGTTCACATTTCAAAGAAGAGAACATTGGGCAATATTTATTCAGCACTGGGTAATTACAGCTGTTTGAGCTTTTGCTGTGCTCTTTGTTTTTAATTGCTCCCTTGAATTGGTTTTATGTACAGTTTTAAGCCTAGTTAGTATAAAAAGTGACCTATAAGTTTTATAAACAGTAATAACCTGTTATTTGTACCAGCCTTTGACAACCTGGGGCCTCCAGATGTTTCAAACTGTATTTCTGATATGAGAATCAGAGATCCAGGGTGTATATTTTGATTTAATTATGTTTCAAATATTAATGGCATTTAACCTTTAGAAAGACAGAATGCATCATTGAATAGTTTTTACGTATCGCTCCTGTGCACCTACATTTTATAACCTCTATGCTCTCTAGGCCATAAATAAGAAAATCTATCTAACCCTGAAGGTGGCACAAATTGTCATTAAGGATGTTGTTGTAGTTAACATCAGAGTGTGAATACAAGCATCTCCTTTAAGCTTCCTGGGATGGTTCAGGGACAAAGAGAAGAGAGATAGGGACAAGAATGTCAACAACCCTGCTGAAGGCCTGGTTGTTAAGGAAACAGTGATAAAGTAGGACATTTGAGACCCAAATGGCCTGGGCACTTAGGGGCACCCCAAGATAATTGTGGGGGTGAAGTTATTGGTTGCCATATTTCAAAAAGTTACATTCCTGACACCGGCAAAATTGTTGAGCTTTTTATAGGAAGACCCCAAAATTGTGTTGTTGTTTTGTTGAAACCCACCAAAATTGTTGAACAACAATGTTAAGCTGGGTTCTGCCCTATTGCCATAGCTACAATAAACACTGGGTTCCTAAAGGGATACTGAACTTGATTTACTTCCTTGGTTCCATGCTTTATTTAAAAGGTGGTCTCTCACCTTGTTGAGAGCAAGGTGGTATAGGAGCAAATTCTTACCACAATTCCCATCAGCCCCAGCCAACATGGGGCTACCCTTGATTAGACCAATGTCCAGACATAATGTAGCTGTCTATGTTTTCAAGGGTATCAGCTATAAATCTGGCAGGCTTGACTGAGGCTCTGAAAGTCTAACCAACATTTGCAAACCAAAGCAGGAGAGTGAGGCTACTTCTGAGCCCTTTGGAACTGGGCGAAAACAAACGGAACAGACAGCAAATCACATACCCAGTAAAGAACAGTTCAAACTTTGAAGCAGACAAAATAATAAACAAGGTAAATCAGATTTGGGGCCTACTGACCCACGCTGTCTCTCCGACGATGGTCTGTGATATACCAAGCATCTGAAATCGCATTTGGGCTAAGCTAGATGAACGAGTTTCAGTTCCAGCTCTGTCTTTCCCGCTGGATGCTGCCAGTGAAAAATGTCCCATCATAATCTGGTTGAGGGCATTTTTCACAGAAACGCTTGAGGAAATTGCTTGCTGCCAG